ATCAGGTTGTATGCTCCTCGCAGATCTAGCTTACTGAAGATCTTTGCTCCTTGAAATCTATCGTGTAGTTCGTTGATTAACGGCAGGGCATACCTGTCCTTGATTGTGATGTTGTTCAACGCTCGATAGTCCACACATAACCGTAGGGAGCCGTCTTTCTTTGGTACGAAAAGCACCGGACTTCCTGCGGGTGATGTGGATGGTTTGATGAATCCTTTTGCTAGGTTATCATCAATGTACTCCTTAAGTACCTTCAGCTCCTTTTCCGATAGCTGATATATTGGTCCGAACGGTGGACTCTTGTCTTTCTCCAAAGGTATCTCGTGATCCCATGGTTGGTGCTTAGGAAGCGCCTCGTTCTTAGGGCCTTCCTGGAATAATCGCTCGTATTCCTTGTACTCCACCGGTATACTCGTCGGTGAGGATGCCTGGGCTAGGTCATCGAGCTCGGAGGTTGCACATAACTCCTTCCGGCCCTGGGAGGGTTTCTCCCGTTGTCGCGTGTCCGTCCGTTGTTCACACGCGCACTGGCTCATCACAACTTTCTCGTTCCACCAGTCGATCTGGGGGTTGTGTTTCTTGAGCCATGGCACACCAAGGATGCACGCATGGTTGTCCATGTGCACGATGTCAAACTGAATCGTTTCCTTGTGCCCGTGTAGCATGACCATTTCCAATGGGACCGTTTCGTGGGTCACCATTCCCTCATTAGTCGAGATGGGCTCTCCATCTACGACCATTAACGGGTATGGTTCAGTTTTCAATTGCGTCTTGAAACCTTGCGTGTCTGCTACTTTCTTTGTCATAAAGTTGCCCGTCGCTCCTGAGTCAATCATTGCTCGGAGGTGTCGCTGTTGTATCTTAGCGACCACATATAGTTGCATGCTGCCCGTCGTGGCGCATAGCTGGTCTGTACTAGGCCTCTTCGTGTCGCTCGCCGGTGGCCTACCGTCGAGGACTCCTAGTTTTTTGACTCGTCCGAGGAAGGATAGTATTCATCCGTTTCCAATGGTGGTCCTTGGGGAGATCGTTTCCCTCGCTCTTCTGCTTCGTCTAGCAGATGTGGGTATTTCTTGTATACCTGTTTGCTTTTGATAGGCAAGTCCCCTTCAGACTGGCTTCGCCTGAGGGCGTGAACTTGCTCTGCGTCTCTGAAGTGTATCCTGGGTGAGGATCGGGGAAACAACTGATTCTGGTGTTTCTTTTTCCAGTGGAGCTTGCAGTCATCTTCGCTGCAATACTCCCAGTAGACATACGCGTGCCAGGGATGATCAGTCTCTGTTGCGTCTGTCATTGATAGTTCCCGCTGTCCTCTCACCCATGCACTATCTTCCCTCGGAGGCATGGAGAACGTGTCTAGTTGCTCCATGGCTCTCCTTTCAATGCGTGGAGTGGGTCTCACATTTTCCCGTCGGAGCATATCTCTGGCTTTCTCGTCGTACTTCTTCAGGGCTCTCCTGCGGTCCTGGTAGTAAATTTCGACGCTTTTCATATACTTCAGTTTAGCCATATGCTCGACATCCTTCTCCAGTTCTTCCGCTTCTTGGGCTTCCAACTTAGCTACGTCTTGGGACGTGCCAAGCAGCCTGCGGGTATTCGTTAGTTGGTCGTAGTATCTCCAGAGGTCATCCTTGCAGTCGTCCACCTTGCACTTTAATGGAAGTTCCTGTAACAGGTTCCCGTAGAGGTCTTTAAGCATGGGGATTCTCCTCTGGCCATTGGGCTTGTCTCGTTCGGCCCTAATCTTCGCGTGGGCGTGTTTTGCCATGCGTCTTACTACGTTCTTGCACCGTGGACTCATTGGTTCCGTAGGTGCGAGTTCATCGAAGGTCTCCTGTTCCGAGACGGTGAACGATTCCGCCTCCGACCCTTCATCTGAGCTCTCGTCTTCTGGGGTGCTTTCGCCGTTTATTCCCCAGTCCTGTTTGCTCACAAACGTTGCGTTCAACTGTCCTGTCCAGGTGGCATTGAGTTGTTTGCCGACTTTGCGTCCGCCGTTCCCTTTCTTTGGCTGTCTGCAGTCTCGGGCCATGTGGCCTGGCTTGTCGCAGTTAAAACAGAGTCGTTCCTTGAATTGTCTGTCTTTCTTAGGGTCACGGGGTCGTCCAGGTTTGAACGTGGCATCGAGTTCCATTGGGTCCGACCAACGGTTGTCTCGCGGGTGTTGATCCCGTCGTCTGCCCTCGTTTCCCCGGTAGGGGTAACTTTTCTTGGGCTTGTCATAGGTCCGACGTTCCTTCTGGAATTCGTATAGTCGATTGTCGATTCGGACCATATGTTCGATTAGCGCTACCATGTCCGTTGGTTGTTGTTCCAAACGGGCAAGTTCCATACGTATATGGCTCTTCAGCCCACGTCGGTAGTGGCTGATGAGTGCGCTGGCGTCCCATCCTGTCTGATTGCCGTATCTCTGGAATTCTGTGGAGTATGTGAGGGCGCTGCCAGTCTGCTTAAGTGCAAACAGATGGTCTTCTGCGGTCTTAATCTCATCGATGTCTCCGAACATGCGTCGTATTTCCTTACAGAATCCTTTCCAGCTGCCAAACATAGTCTGCGTAGTTGTCATGCTTCCATTGGTACTTTCATATTTGAAATAGTCCTTGAGGAATGGTTCGATCCATCGCAGGGCTTCCCCCCTAAGGTAGGACGCAGTCCACAGGGCATAGCTCTCCTGGGTGGGAAACTTCTCATCATTGAAGTGTTGGTACAGTTCGACCTGTAGCAAAAACACCTCAAGTTCCTTTCGGTTGCCGGAGTAAGTGTCGGGCAACTTGACGCGTAGAGTTTCCTTGAGTTCGTTGACGGTGGGTGCGTCGGGCATCTCCTCATTCTCAGGCTTAGACCTCTGAGACGAAGTTGGCGTGGTGGGGGTTTTCCCCTTCGAACTGACGACGGACATGTTGCTTTGTGTGTAAGCCGGTACCTCGTAGAAGTGGTGCTCAAAGTGTAACGCTGACTTCTAAACGATAGAAGACACAGAGGTTCTCTTGCGTAAAGGTTTACTTATCAGAGGAGGCAGGGGATCAGACACAAAGGCTTCAAGTAACACGTTACTAGTATATAACAAATACTGTATTGAGTTGAGCACGAAGCTCCTATCTAAGGAAATACTATCTACTTATATAGTGGCGTCATGCCTAGTGGACTCTTGGGAACTCACTCGAGTCCTCGGAGTCCTGGACTCTTAGGACTCTTCTCATCATCCTGCGAGTCCATCACGTGCCTAGTGGGCTCCTGGGAACTCACTCGAGTCCTCGGAGTCCTGGACTCTTAGGACTCTTCTCATCATCCTGCGAGTCCGTCACGTGATACTTTCGGAACTACTATTCCCCGCTGCCCGTCCAGGTACCAGGGCCGGTCTCATGCGACCTCCCTCCTTCCTGTCCTGTAGTTGGCCAGCCTTCTTGTTCCGTCGTAACACCTAGCTCTCCGGCGCTTGCTTAGTACTTCATTTGCCTGTCGTAGGTTTTGGTTCTCTCCCTTTAGCAGTGCTAATTGATGCATTATTTGCGATGCACCCTTTGTAAACTGGTCAACAGCTGCATAGATTGAGGTTGGAGAGCTATTTTGATGGCGTGAAATCCGAGTTTTAATAAATGTAGACTGTGACATAGCTTCAATTGGGTTGTTTGGTGTCTGAGAAACCCAAGGTTGAGCAGTACCTGGGCGGGAGCTTGGAGGCGTTGGTGTCCTTAACTTAAGATCAAGTGTAGATATCACTCTCTCAGGGTCAAATGGAAGAAGCCCTGCCCCTCGGAACCCGCCTCGAATGTTACTTTCCGTCATTGTGTGTTAAATGCAGCGTGGAAGGCAGGAAAGAAGCCATCCTTTGTAATATGAGAAATATGAGCCTGCATCATATCTTCAATTTGCCGACCATAGGCCTGCTTTAACGGGCCGAAACAGCCAACATCAAGTGGCTGGAGTAGATGAGAAGAGTGAGCAGGCATACAAAGCGTAATAATGTTGTGTTCCTTGCAGTACTCCTCAAACTCATCTGAGTGGTGGCTCTCATGACCATCAAGGACTAACAAGCGATAACCACCAACACTCTGGGCCTTTGTATGCTTCTCAAAGTGCTGAATCCAATCCATGCCTCTCTCGTTTGTAGTCCAGCCATTTTCAGTAACAGAAATCACCCAATCGCTTGAAAATCCACTATTCTCATACCAAGATGTAAGGTGGTTTTTGCCTGCAACAATGATAAATGGTGGTACTGCCCAACCTTGAGAACTAACGCCTTGGATTACTGTAACCCATTCCCGATTACCAGGCTGTACCTTCTTTGCTTTTGCCCGCCCGTCTGAGCTTGTTACAACCATAGCAGTTGAGATAACGCCCATCATAAACCCAGTCTCATCAAAGTTGTAGATATCTGCTTCATCGATACCATATTTCGCAATTGTGTTATGCACAAGCTCAAACCAGCCATTAATAACTTCTGGATCTTCGCACTTAGCCCTCTGGTAGTCGTATTTGCGCTGAAAGCGTGTCTGGAGCTCTACACGCCGCTTAACAAAGTTTGAAGCCCAACGCGACCCAACGCGTGACGCGTCGCGTGTTGCAAGTAGTCGACTTGCCATATCTTCAACAACAGACAGCCGAGGAGGAAACCCTTTGGCAGCTAGGTCGAGTATATACTGAACAAGGACGGACTCCTCTAGGTTAGTTAATTTCCGTGAGTTGGCTTGGATATCGCGTCGTGAAGGTACACCTTCTAGACGACGACCTAGCTTGCGGTGGTCCACAGAATAGATCCTAGCAGCAACTCGAAGGCGTAACTTTGGGTCGCTTTGCATAGCCTGGATAGCTAGCACTAATTGGCTTTCATCGTTTTTATGGGGCATGTTTTGTTGTTGAGGAATTTAACATTTAGTTGGGGGGTTTGGTCACCGCATCATTTTGGCGCTTTCGCTTGTTTGGCGCTTTCGCTATACATGTACGTTATAGGATACAAAGTTGCTAATATATGTTATTCATGCTTAACGGCCATAAGACAGCTCTAATTAGACTTTGTCATTTGTCTCCTCTAGCTAGTAGAGTGGAAGGGGACACTAGACTCTTTGATGCACTCTGCTATAAGGATATCCGCCTACTAGTTGTACACAGTCCTAACAATAGCAAGCGAGATGTGCTTGCCATAGAGGTCAAACTGTCTTATCACAAAGGACATAATAAGCGCCTAAAGCCGTGAGTCAACCAACCGCTTTGAACGTACCTTCTAACATCAAACTAACAGAAGCGTTAAGTGACACACATTCAGTCTAGCCAACCCATTTTCCAACGGCGGCTAATGGTCATTTTTTCAGTCTAATTCTTAGTCTCAATCTCGCTCTCATTTCGCCTCTCCACCTGCTGCTGTTGGAAGCACCCCTTTCTCGAAGCTGGAACGCATCTAAGCACGGAAGGTGTTCCACATGCTAAGCATACGAGTATCCTGGCCAGGAGTGAAGTTGTCATAGCAAGAACTGCATCTCATTAGCATCCATCCATCTCTCACACATCCCCACAAAACATCAAATAAATCAAACTCACTCATAAGAATAATCCATATAGTTATGGATAGGATCCAAACCAGCGACATTTTGGCACGAGTCACGACCAGTTGGGCACCCACTGGTAGCCGACAATTGCTGCGGGGTGTCGGCGATACTGTCCCCTGAGCCCGAGCACGAGCTGCCTTGGAAGGTGTGGAGGAGACCCATCCAGTGGCCGACTTCGTGCGTCACGGTCTTGCCGAGGTTGTAGTTCGTTTCGGAGCCGCCAGGCGCGGTGCTGTAGAGAACGGAGCAGCCGTCGTACTGTTTCTCTCGTCAGTTTCATTCCTACTCCAAGACCAACCTCAAACTCCAATCCCAACTCCAACTCAAGCTCCAATCTTCAATGCTTAAGGAAATTTGGTTATGGGGTTGACAAAGTACTTACATAGAATTTATCGGATCCAGTAGCAGCGGTGGTTGGGAAATAACAGTATCCATAGCTACCACCGATAGCATACATGAAGTAGATGTTCACATCCTTGTAAGTACCCTTGCGGAGCGCCTTCTTCATCGCCAACTCGGCGCCGTCAGATGCCCAGAGGGTGTTGATGGTCCAGTCAGTACCGGCGTTGGTGAACTGGAAACCGGAAGCAGCTTTGGAAATTGGTCAGCATATGTCCATTTGCTCATTCAAAATGCAAACCAGGATCAAAAAGCAGGGAGATGGGAGAAAGCACAAGCGAGGGGTTAGGGGGTTAGGTTACAAACTCACCATAATTATTATTCATAACCGTCAACTGATTCTCAATCTGCGCCGCGGTCACATACCCACCACTCGCAGCGGTCGATCTCGCCACGACATGGAAATACACATTGACGTTGATAGTCGCGGCTGCGGAAATAGCTCCATCGGCAGCCAGAGCCCCGAGAGCGGATTTCGACGCTGCTTCCTCGGCGGCCATCTCTTTGGCTGTGGCGAGGAACTCGGCGGTGGGCACGACACCGCAGCCGAACTTTGTGTCGCGGGGGCCGTTGGCGGGGTGCGCGAGGACGGTAGACAGAGGGGAGAGAATGGTGCTAGCGAGGGCCAGGGCGAGGAGGGTGAAGCGTGCCATGGTGGGCGGTGATCAGGGGGGTGGAGAGGGGTGGATTTGGGGATCTGTTTGATGTGTTAGTAAGAGTTCGATTGGCGAAGATTGGTTCGCTTTGGATGAACTCCAAGACGATAGCCGGAAAGTGATGAGTTCATCCAAAGTGCCAAACTGCGAGAAGTGAACACTTACTGGCAAGTAGAAGTGAGGGACTGGGACTAGGACTGGGACTGGTTGGATGAATGCAAGATCTGATATCCCTTGATATTAAGATGCCTTTTTTGCCAACAAGGTAGTTACTGGGTCTTTATAATACGTTCATCTCGTCACCCTTCCGTACTCTACTCTCTCACCTTCATACAACTCTCTACCTCTCTATCTCTATCTCGCAGCTCCACCATCCCATACCATACCATGATCCTTTCGAATGAGCAGCGAAGACAAACCAAACCAGCCAGTCCAAAACAAGAAGCTCCCAATACTCCGCCCACGCACGCCTGACAAGTGCAAAAGGGCCAAGAGCCCCAGCGAAGCAGGTATACATCGCTTGCGGCGTCCTCCTAGCTGTCACGCCCTCTCTTTGAATGCCGTACGCCGTAAGTCTATATTACATTGTTCTCTTGGCGCGAAGAGCAGAGCCTGTTGTAGTACCAAGGGATGGATCGGGGAGGAGCCTGGAAGGGGAATGGGGGGTTTGGTTGGTTGGTTATGGAAGGTGGTGGTAGCGATGGAGGGGGTGGGTGGTAGGGGAGGATGGTGTAGGGTGGCATGCACGATGTACCGGTATCTAAGCTTTAAGACGGTCAGCGCGTGCAGATTAGTAGTATCGACGTCTTGGCTGCTGCCCTATGGACACTAGGTGCCGTGCTTTTCACTGCAGCAGCTTCGGAGGTTGGGGGCGGGAAGAGGTAGGTGTGAGGGAGAGAGGAGATCTCGGCATTTCTTACCTTCTATTGTCAAGATGCAGCTTTCTCTCCACAAAGAGACACCGCGTGCTGCTCCTGGCCTTACTTAGATTTGTCACGGGATAGCCCCTTGTTGTCATCTCATGTTCACAGCGACCTTCCGTATCAGATCTCTCATCGCCGAAGAGAATGCAAAAAAGAGGTGAGGTGATGTTTTCCCTCTCCTTTATAATCTCACGCATCGGCATCGGGACCGTGCTCCTAAACCCAGTGCGTTGCAGCTTCTTTTAATCAAGGACTGTTGTTGACGTGGCTAGTTAGCCACTGAGTTCCTTCAGCTCCTGATCAATCCCAGCCCCTGTATACAGTACCAAGCAATGCCAAGCACAAGGGAGAGTCACATCTTTCCGAAGAGAGAGGGAGATAAGAAAGGGCTTCTTGGCGGGCGTTATGAGCGTCGAATTGGTGGAAGGAGGAGAGGGTGGTAGATTACGTCTATTTTGTGGTTTGCCTATGGGATGAGGGGTCAGGGGCAGGGTCAGGGGTGTTGGAGGTTTCGGAATGCGGGGAACTACACACAAATTTGTGTGGTAATCTCCGACTACCCTGTAATAGTGTATCTCTGTACTACAGCTTCAAAAATATCTTCATCTCTGTCAACTATCTATTCGCCTATAGGGTTGAGAAAATCTGCAATTGGCATGACATCTCCTGGTAGCCTCGCAATTTCCATTCCCAGTTCCTCGGCCTCAGCAGTATTATCTTGACACATATCCATATTTTCTGTTTTTTTTATGAGAGTCGATCGCCACCAACACTTCTGGATTTTTGGTGCTTCAAGTGCTTCCCACGTAAGTCGACTCCACTGTATCGCCTTTAGAATATTAACTGTTTTATTAGGGTTCTTATTGGCCTCGAGCTGGCGCAACATGTAATTAATCCATTGTTTTCGATACCCAAGTTTGAAGCTTGCAATTATTCCCTGATCGAGAGGTTGCCAACGAGATGTCGTATTTGGTGGAAGCCAAGCAATTCGAACATTCGACAAACCTTGTAATCCACCAACAAGTTCAACTCCGACTTCATGTCCAGAGAAGTTATCAAGTAATAACAGTATCTTGCGATGCTTCATTTTCTCATTTAACCAGTCTAGGTATTCTTTCATAATTAGCCCTGTCATCCATTTTGTCTCGTTGTATCGATATTGAATCCGCATGCGCGTAACATTTTTAAAACATTGAGGGTTCTTCGACTTTCCCACAACCCATATATCTAGCTTCTCAGTTCCAGTCGAATTTGTCGTAAATGCGAGAGTAATCCGATCTTTGGATTTCTTTCCCCCACTTGAAGCTTCAGTGGCTAGCGTTCAAGTTGGCGTCATTGTAACGCTGACTTCTAAATGATAGAAGACACAGAGGTTTCTTGCGTAGGTTGACTTGACAGAGGAGGCAGGGGATTAGACACAAAGGCTTTCCAAGTAACACGTTACAGTATTGTAAAGAATACTATATTGAGTTGAGCACGAAGCTCCTATCTAAGGAAATACTATCTACTTATATAGTGCCGTCGTGCCTCATGGGTAATCTGGATAGTTGTATAATGGTGAGTGGTGCACCAGATGTGAGAATCTAGCCACCCAAGGAAGGGATGATTTTACTAAGACAACACACTGTCTTAGAAAAAGAGCCAAAGGGTCGTAGCTTAGACTATTCCACAATGCAGCAATCAGGTGTATCATATAGTGGAGTGGTTTAGACAAGTTGTAACAAATGTTGAGTCTGAGAACTCAGGAATAAGTTAGAGGTTAGCACCTCACTGACTTTTCAGAAACAAGGAGTAACAAGATCAATGCTTGGAAGCTTGGAAAAGACGTGGAAGTATGTGATAGTCGATTTACTGTATTGTCTGCTTGCCCTTTCTTAAGGAAAGGGCAATCCTATTTATGCTAAAGGAGTGTAGTTCTCTCATTTTCCAAGACTTTCCATGACTAACCAGGCTTGGTAACTGTAGTCGACGTAAGAGAATTCCATAGAACCATCCCCTAGGTTCCTAGCCTATAGGAAGTGAAAGGAGGTCCAAGGTCAGAGTACCCCTATAGACAAATTATGTCATAACTTAACCAATCTTGTGGGTAACTAAGGAGCGATGACGTGTAATGAATCATAGAGGGTTGTAGAAGCTTTTGGAGCTATCGTTCATGTTCCTAGGCCTCTAGTTGATAGAGATATGTCATGTGTAGTATTAGCCCAGTAACTAAGGAGTGATGTCATGTAATGAATCATAGAGGGTTGTAGAGATATGCGATGTGGTCATATCGGCCCAGTAACTAAGGAGCAATGACGTGTAATGAATCATAGAGGGTTGTAGCAGTATGACAGAGAGCCGTGCGTTCGAATAGCGAAGGTTGGAGTGTGCCTCCATTTTTGGTAGTTCAAGGGAAGACTCATCTTGCGAATTGGTACACAGATGGCAGTTGTCATACTGACATTCGTTGCACTCAGTTTGCTATCAAACTCAAGAGCAAACTTAGAAATCTCCTCCTCAAACCTACAAGTCACCATACATATCTTGGCTTATCACACCAACAACAGAAGCAATACTACTCAACGATTGCTGCAAACTCTTCTACTACATCTGTTTATGCTACATACATCACGGCATATCATTTGAACACTCATTGAACAAGTTATTACGAAAATCTCCTCCTTAAGGGGGTGGGCCAATACTACCACATGGCATATCTCTACCAACTAGAGGCCTAGGAACATGAACGATAGCTCTAGAAGCTTCTACAACCCTCTATGATTCATTACACGTCATCGCTCCTTAGTTACCCACAAGATTGGTTAAGTTATGACATAATTTATCTATAGGTACTCTGACCTTGGACCTCCTTTTCACTTCCTATAGGCTAGGAACCCAAGAGATGGTTCTATGGGATTCTCTTACGTTCACTACATGATTAGCAAGCTAGTTGTGGGTCGCACTTGATTTCTAATACATTTACCAAGCCTGGTTAGTCATGGAAAGTCTTGGAAAATGAGAGAACTACACTCCTTTGGCATAAATAGGATTGCCCTTTCCTTAAGAAAGGGCAAGCAGGCAATACAGTAAATCGACTATCACATACTTCCCCGTCTTTTACAAGCTTCCAAGCATTCATCTTGTTACTCCTTGTTTCTGAAAAGTCAGTGAGGTGTTAACCTCTGACTTACCCCTGAGTTCCCAGACTCAACATTTGTTGCAACTTGTCTGAACAACTTCACTACATCACACACCTGATTGCTGCGTTGTGGAATAGTCTAAGCTACAACCCTTTGGCTCTGTTTCCTAAGACAGTGTGTTGTCTTAGTAAAATCATCCCTTCCTTGGGTGGCTAGATTCTCACATCTGGTGCACCCACCATTACAGCAGTCTTCCACACGACTGGGTTATTAAACCTACAAGTAACGGATAGACAAATAATGAGACGGGTCTAGAATGGATACAACACTTTGATAAGCATACTGCTGCTCGAGCAAAGGTCTCTATCAAATGCTAGTCTGTGATGGGCATGAGAGCCACGAATCAGCCGAATTCTAAGAGTATTGCAAGGCACACAACATTATTACTCTTTGTTTACCTCCTCACTCTTCTCATCTAACTCAGCCACTTAATGTTAGATGTTTTGGTGTGTTAAAGCAGGCATATAGTTGCTAGATTAAGACCTTTATTAAGGCTCATATTAATTATATTAGTAAGGTTGAGTTCCGTTTAAAGCAGCATACATACAATCAATGACAGCTCAAAACGCATAGGCTGGATTCCGCAGGGCTAGTTTAGTGCCCTTTGATCCATATGCTGTGATTTCAAAGCTTGATGCAAGGTTGCAGACTCCGTCTCCTCGTCGACCCTCGTCTGCTAACGCCGACACTTAGGTCTCTCAAACCCCTCGCAACCCAACCGATGCTCTCTTATAGACAACTTTGGTTAAGAAACGTATTGCTTATCACGAAGAAAGCTCGCCAACCCCAATTTTTGCAAGAGTCACTACGTTAGCAAAGGGTACAGAGCTATTAGCTCATTAATTGACTCTTGGGACTACTAAAGTCCGTACCCTTCGCTAGGCAAACGAAGCCCTTAGCAAATGCCAGAGGGCTAAAAAGGCTCGTATCCGCCAAGGAGGTGCACTTACTGTAGAGATGCACACGATGTATTAGCTTAGAGGGATGTGGATGAGCAGATTCGACACGACAAGCGCCTAGGGAGGGTGGGTGGGTAGAATGAGGGGCAATTGACTACACGACGTTGTGGCAATTGCGGAAAGACTGGTCATTATGCGCCAACTTATCCCGAAGGTGTAAATATGTCTAGTTCATCAGATTCTGAGTAGTTTAATGAATATTGTATGTTATGGTCGTTTAATTGTATTTTGAAGTAGTAGGTTGGTGAAAAGTGCGCGACATGCTGATAAACCACGTTATACCAAACAGGTTTACTGAATTCTACCACAACCTCCACACCACCAACTAGCTAGCTAAGCTATCCAAACAAAACCAATATATAGATTTTAGAAGATAAGTCCGTCTCCATCCCCCATAAATTCATGATCCATAAATCCTCATCCCTCCACCATCATCTCAACTCTCAAAAAGCGAGAAATTTAAGCACCGTTGCCGTTGTAGGCAATGAGGTTGACGCTACCCTTAGGGTCCTTGACGGAGCCCTTGGTACCGATGGACGCGATCTTGGAAGCGATGGCGGCTGGGGAGCTAAGTCCACCAAGACCGATGAGGTAGGCGGCGAGACCGGCGACGTGGGGGGTGGCCATGGAGGTTCCGGATTTGATGCTGAAGGCAGACTTGCCGCCGATCGATGCGGACTTCACGTTAACACCTGGGGCAAAGATATCAACGACGGAGCCGTAGTTGGAGGAGCTAGCGCGGGTGTCGGTGCTATCGACGGAACCGACTGTGATGGCATTCTTGGCAGAGGCGGGCGAGTAGTTGGAGGCATCGTCACCGTCGTTACCGGCAGCGACGACGATGGTGACGCCATTGGAGACGGTGGATTCGACAGCAGAGTTGACGGCAGCGGAGTAGTGGCCGCGGAGCGACATGGAGATGACAGACTTGCCATCCTTGCCGTTCTGGCCAACAAAGTTGATGCCGGCAATGGTGGCAGAGGTGGCGCCGAACCCATCACGGTCGAGGACCTTGACGGCGACTAGGTTCGCCTTGCTGGCAACACCGTAAGTGGCGCCAGCGATGGTGCCGGCACAGTGAGTGCCGTGTCCGTTCTCATCAGTGTCCGGGGAGCCCGAAATGTAGTTTGCGCCCCATTTGGCACGGCCCTCGAACTCCTGTGGTAGGTGTCAGTTAGAAGCTTCAATGCGGGGTAATAAGCGTGAAGGGAGACTCACCGAGTGCTCAATGTAGATGCCGGTGTCAAGAACGTAGACGGTTGATCCCGAGCCAGCGGAGCCATCGTAGATGTAGCTGTTGGAGCCAGTCGCCTTGTGGGAGATGCGGCCGAGACCCCATGTAGCACCAGAGCGGGTCTCGAGAGCATTAGCTTGGACCTTTCCGTCCATTTCGATCCACGCGACCTGATGCTCGTTAGTCATGTGCAGAACGTACGGTTTGGAACTGGGTGTCGTCACTTACCAGAGGCGACGCGGCGATCTCACCGATGCTACCGGTGTCGGTCTCGATCTGGTAGCCCTTGAAGCCAGTGATGTTGTACTTGTGGCCAACACCCTTGTGGGCAGATCTGCGCTTGCTCAGGATGCGGCTGACGGAGGAAAACTCGGACTCAATATCGGCATCGTTGACGCCCTTGTTGAAGACAACTATGTAGCTGTCTGGGATGATATCCTGGGCTCTAGGGCTGCGGATCTTGGCGTGCTGTGCCTCCACAGGAGCAGCGGCGATGAGAGGCAGGAAGCAGGCCGCGAGGGCAATGAGACTCTGGGAGAACTTCATGATGTTCGGCGGAGGACTGGTGATGTGATGAAGAGATGTGGATGAGGATGATGGTGAGACTGGAGGCGGGACATCCGCTGAGCTTTATAGAAGGTTCGCCAGGAACAGGCCAGGACCCGATCTTGCGAGATTGGGCTCATGGGAGCTTTGGACGGTGAACCATTAGGGGAGGCAAAGTGACAACTGCCTATTCGGATGTAGTTCCGTGATGGACGTGATGTGCGTATTGCGATGGCGACGTGCCCTGAGGGTCAGTCATGTCGATCTGGCGGCGTGCTGGAGCTTGGCCAGACGCTGGCAGCGGAGGATATGAAGAGCGGGCTTCTTGATTGGGAAGTTGAGCTGAGGGTGCCGAGGGTGCTGAGGGTGCCAAGAGTGGTCTGCCAACGTCTCGTGGCAGGGGTAACGCACTGCCGAGCTCCGGCATGCCCGCGTCTCCATAATCCCCATGATATCATCCGGGACATGATACCGAGAGTGGAAGGCCAGAAGAACATAATGTTTTCGTCTTCTGGGACGGGGGCGTGGCGTGCAGGAGGAGCGATTACGATTGAGGAAGGAGGGACGACAGCGGCCAGACGAACAGAATGTTTTCGTCATCTGGGACGGGGGCGTCCCCCCCTTCATATCACACATACTGCCTATCCTACCACCGATCTTCCCCCACGAGCCTCACCCTCTTTCGTCCTTCCTCAATCGTAATCGCTCCTCCTGCTGGGGTTGGAGGGAAGTGATTGAGGGGTTGGTCAGGTCGGTCAGCGGCAGTTGGCAGCAGCGGGTGGCCAGCGGGACTGTAGCGGCGTGGGATGCCGACGACAGGGAAGGGTTACCATGATGGTTTCGGCCAGAGACAGGGACGAAAGGAAGGGAAGAGATGCGTGGAAGCGAAGAGGCGAAGAGGCGAAGAAGAGAAGAGGCGAAGAAGAGAAGAGGCGAAGAAGAGAAGCACATGCATGGTGCACACCCACCTGGCCGTCGTGTGCGTGGGTGAGACATCGACACTGCGGATCTTGACACTGACGTTGGTGATCTGGTGCGTAGTTGGGCATGATAGGAGAGATGGAGATGCACAGGTTCAAGTCATGTGATGCTTACTAAGTGATTACATGGTTGACTAGTAACCTCCATTCAAGAGCGCACGTGGCACGTCCGCTCTTCCCATCCTCATCCGCGGTAATTACACTCACGTGATCGCCACAAAACTGACCGCTCTCATCGACCCCGAACATCCCAATCTTCATCCCCATCCTCATCCCATCTCCATATCTCTCTCCAACCATATCCCACGACCTAATCTCATCACACCGGAGTTACCCCGATTACCTCAGGCTTTTTCTCCACCCACCACTAACCCAAACTCCTACTAGCCCCCCTCAACTTCCCCAGATTTGCCCTCTAATCTCTGGTGACAAAACTCTTCCCTTCCCGCTCCATCATGCTTTAGTGCAATTGGCTCCTCCCTCCCACGCCTTCCCCTCAAACGACCTCCTCCTCCCCCCTCCTCCCCCCTCCTCCGCTTCCCCCTTACTACCCTGACCCTCCGATCGCCGCTAACAGCGGAGAGTGCATGATGGTCCCGAACGGACATCAAGACCAGCCCGTCCATACACTTGGGGGATGATGAGAAGCATGAATTGCAGGAGCAGGTTTCGGCGCCGAAGCTGCAGAGGAGGCTGAAGGCGAGGCATCTGCAGATGATTGCTATTGGTATGTTCATGATTTTGCGATACATAGCCGCTCTTTCCCGAGGAGTGTAGTACCCATTGCTCCTTCCTCGCACACTCGTTCTTGACGGGAAATGATCCTCTTCTTCTTCGTCTTCACTGTCTTCTTCATCGGCCTGCTGGTGCCCTACACCAATGAGCGCCTGATATCCTCCGCCTCCGACGCCACCGCCTCGCCCTTCGTCATTGCTGCCGATCTAGCCGGCGTCAAGGTCCTCCCAGGCATCATCAACGCCGTCCTCTTCGTCGTCCTCTCCGCCGCAAACTCCAACGTCTACTCCCGCTCGCGCGTTAGACATAGCGATCCTCACAGCAGTGCCTATCGATTGGGCAAAGATGAGGATACGGGAGGAAGGGATCCACGTCGGGCTTGCGCACGACGGCTCGGCCCCGAAATTTTTCACCCTTGCCTCCGCACGCACAACCTCTCCTCGGGCGCATCGACCGTCTTCGGGTGGCCCCTCAACATCAGCGCCGTCGCGGGTTTCATCACGAGGGCCAGCATCGGCACGCAGGGCTTCACGGCGTTTATGCCATGAGATGTGACGCAGTTCTTCGTGGCGTATGTGAGCTTGATTCTCTTCGTGGTGCTGTTTGCGGGCCACAAGATTATCACGAGGTCCAAGTGGGTTAGGTCTGCTGAGGCGGATATTCTGACGGGCAGCTTGGCGTGCGAGGATGAGGAGTGGGGGAGTATTGCGCCGACGACGATGTGAGGGAAGTTTTAGGAGTGGGTTGTGTAAGTGGGTTGCGTGCTGTGGTACGCTGTGAGCAGCGTTTCATTCAAACCAATCCAAACCAATCCAGAACCCCTGGATTGGGTTGATTGGACCATTTTTCTGCTTCGATTGGATTGGATCAGTGTTGTCAATAGTAATTCTTGGCAATATATTGCGAGAAAAAGGCATATTGTATTGTCACCATATGGCGAGTGCCTATATTATATTGTCACCATATAGCTTGGCAGTATATTGTATTATGATCATAAGGCTTGGCAATATATGCAGTGTAAACAGTGTCAACCATATGACTTATAAACAGTACTATCAATTGCTTCGCACTAACGCCCCTTTTCATCATTCTATCTTAATCCTCTGCCCAAGGTGTATCTGTAATAGCCAACCAAGACTTTAAGCACTCTAAGTACCCAATAGTATCTACCCCCAATCGATTGCGACGATCTGTGACTGTAATCTTAGCCCCTGAGAATAGCCGTTTCCTATAAGTTTATCAGACTTAGATCCTAGTGATGCAAAGTCTGGATTCAAGCGTTGGGCAAAGGCAAAGCAGCAGCGTTATCAGCCTCTTCTTCAAGACGAGTATCTCAAATACTGTCAATTGCCAGTTACCCCCGAATGTGATGCTAGAGGTTGGTGGATGGAGCCTGCTCAACGGACGGCATTTCCAAATCTTCATAAAATGGCAATTGATATCTTATCGATACCAGCAATGAGCGCAGAGCCAGAAACAATTGCTGGCTTATACGATCCGTCCCATAATGATTGAACTGATGCTCTTGCAGCTTCTATCCAAGATTTTGGCCAATTATCATAGATATAAGTCCATTTCTGGGTTGGAATAAGCACTAATGCAGCAACATATGTTAGACAAGTTATATGTTATTAATATATTCTCTTTTACTTACCGCTCTGTTAAGCCATAGTACTTATCCGTTACTTTCCAAGCAGAATTAAGCAGGGGCTTAATATTGGATCTTGCTCATATTGCTTCTTCCCATTGTCAAGCTGGTCAAGTAAGAACTGCATAGAGAGTAATACTCGTTCAGAGTTGCTTGCTGGCCCTCAGTAGCCATTGTAGATTCATAAAAATGAAGAAGGCAATTGTATATATTCTGTAGTACAGCCCAATCTGTATCTTGCAAAGAATCATCATGTAAATCTTCAAATTGATACAATAGTTATTGATAGCCTTCTTCATAGTATCTTGTAAGGCACATGCAAGCATTAAATACCATGAATTCCACCAGGTTTTGTTATCACGTACTAGATGCTTGCCATTTGAATTCTTCAAGAATGAAGCCTGTCATTGAGGCGAAAGTTGAATGTATACAACAATATTATGAAGTTTGCCTAAGGGTCCATAAGCCCTCCATTGCTGGATATCGTCCTCTGTAGGTATATACTCTGTTTGAATATTGTTATTCTTATCAAGAGATCGCCATGTGGAAAAAGGAACGCTTGTGCTGCTAGATTTTAAGGACACAGGGCACCCATGTAATGGTGGGTGCACCAGATGTGAGAATCTAGCCACCCAAGAAAGGGACGAATTTACTAAGACAACACACTGTCTTAGGAAACAGAGCCAAAGGGTTGTAGCTTAGACTATTCCACAACGCAGCAATCAGGTGTGTGATGTAGTGAAGTGGTTCAGACAAGTTGCAACAAATGTTGAGTCTGGGAACTCAGGGGTAAGTCAGAGGTTAACACCTCATTGACTTTTCAGAAACAAGGAGTAACAAGATCAATGCTTGGAAGCTTGGAAAAGACGTGGAAGTATGTGATAGTCGATTTACTGTATTGTCTGCTTGCCCTTTCTTAAGGAAAGGGCAATCCTATTTATGCTAAAGGAGTGTAGTTCTCTCATTTTCCAAGACTTTCCATGACTAACCAGGCTTGGTAACTGTAGTCGACGTAAGAGAATCCCATAGAACCATCCCCTAGGTTCCTAGCCTATAGGAAGTGAAAGGAGGTCCAAGGTCAGAGTACCCCTATAGACAAATTATGTCATAACTTAACCAATCTTGTGGGTAACTAAAGAGCGATGACGTGTAATGAATCATAGAGGTTCGTAGGAGCTTTTAGAGCTATCGTTCATGCTCCTAGGCCTCTAGTTGGTAGAGATATGTCGTGTGATAGTATGAGTGATGTCATGTAATGAATCATAGAGGGTTGTACAGATATGCTATGTGGTAATACCGGCCCAGTAACTAAGGAGCGATGACGTGTAATGAATCATAGAGGGTTGTGTAAGGACACAGGGCACCCAGCTCACAGTAATAGCATATGAGAGTGCGAGTCGGAGGCTAAACGGATGCTATCCTATAGGTCTACTACGAAGGATACAAAAAAGATGAAGGGGGAACCCCGTTGAGTCTGTTTCCTTAACTCCCGAAACGGGCCCGACTCGGTTATCCCAACCCTAGCCCTGAACCTTCCACCGCAACAGGTCTACATCAGCCCTGAACCCTACACCCTTACCGTCCCCCACTATAGTGTAACTCGCTATGTGCTCCTCTACTGGTTTGAAACCACACTGAGTCAGATTTCATGCTTGTAGTGACCGTAACAGCTCTGAGGCAGGTTCTTCGAGTATCTAGGTAAGGAGGCATCCTTACAAGATTGATGATATGCCCATTGCAATGAAGTCGGTGATGAATATGATTGTATTCAATATCTTGAAATGACAGCACTAACGTACATGTATAGCGAAAGCGCCAAACAAGCGAAAGCGCCAAAATTATCTACCCTCACGACAAACATTGCGATAAATCTACCACAACATTAGAAATCAATTGAAACTACTCAGAGTCCTCTTCCTCAGAGGTGTCTATTACAATCTGACACGTGCGCGCATTGTGCCCAGTCTCACCACACTTGCCACAGCGACGGGCACGGGTTTCTTCCCTTGGCTTCCGACCACAGCTTGCCCTTATTTCCTGCTCTACCTGCTGCACAACATCCCTCTCATCCTGTAGCTCTTGCGCCCCTTGTTGACTAAGTGATCCTCCTTGCTGTAGTCGTGTTTTCCTAGCTCTCCGGCGCTTGCTTAGTACTTCATTTGCCTGTCGTAGGTTTTGGTTCTCTGCCTTTAGCAGTGCTAATTGATGCATTATTTGCGATGCACCCTTTGTAAACTGGTCAACAGCTGCATAGATTGAGGTTGGAGAACTATTTTGATGGCGTGAAATCCGAGTTTTAATAAATGTAGACTGTGACATAGCTTCAATTGGGTTGTTTGGTGTCTGAGAAACCCAAGGTTGAGCAGTACCTGGGCGGGAGCTTGGAGGCGTTGGTGTCCTTAACTTAAGATCAAGTGTAGATATCACTCTCTCAGGGTCAAATGGAAGAAGCCCTGCCCCTCGGAACCCGCCTCGAATGTTACTTTCCGTCATTGTGTGTTAAATGCAGCGTGGAAGGCAGGAAAGAAGCCATCCTTTGTAATATGAGAAATATGAGCCTGCATCATATCTTCAATTTGCCGACCATAGGCCTGCTTTAACGGGCCGAAACAGCCAACATCAAGTGGCTGGAGTAGATGAGAAGAGTGAGCAGGCATACAAAGCGTAATAATGTTGTGTTCCTTGCAGTACTCCTCAAACTCATCTGAGTGGTGGCTCTCATGACCATCAAGGACTAACAAGCGATAACCACCAACACTCTGGGCCTTTGTATGCTTCTCAAAGTGCTGAATCCAATCCATGCCTCTCTCGTTTGTAGTCCAGCCATTTTCAGTAACAGAAATCACCCAATCGCTTGAAAATCCACTATTCTCATACCAAGATGTAAGGTGGTTTTTGCCTGCAACAATGATAAATGGTGGTACTGCCCAACCTTGAGAACTAACGCCTTGGATTACTGTAACCCATTCCCGATTACCAGGCTGTACCTTCTTTGCTTTTGCCCGCCCGTCTGAGCTTGTTACAACCATAGCAGTTGAGATAACGCCCATCATAAACCCAGTCTCATCAAAGTTGTAGATATCTGCTTCATCGATACCATATTTCGCAATTGTGTTATGCACAAGCTCAAACCAGCCATTAATAACTTCTGGATCTTCGCACTTAGCCCTCTGGTAGTCGTATTTGCGCTGAAAGCGTGTCTGGAGCTCTACACGCCGCTTAACAAAGTTTGAAGCCCAACGCGACCCAACGCGTGACGCGTCGCGTGTTGCAAGTAGTCGACTTGCCATATCTTCAACAACAGACAGCCGAGGAGGAAACCCTTTGGCAGCTAGGTCGAGTATATACTGAACAAGGACGGACTCCTCTAGGTTAGTTAATTTCCGTGAGTTGGCTTGGATATCGCGTCGTGAAGGTACACCTTCTAGACGACGACCTAGCTTGCGGTGGTCCACAGAATAGATCCTAGCAGCAACTCGAAGGCGTAACTTTGGGTCGCTTTGCATAGCCTGGATAGCTAGCACTAATTGGCTTTCATCGTTTTTATGGGGCATGTTTTGTTGTTGAGGAATTTAACATTTAGTTGGGGGGTTTGGTCACCGCATCATTTTGGCGCTTTCGCTTGTTTGGCGCTTTCGCTATACATGTACGTTATGCAATAAGTTAATAAGTAATTATATAACGTGGTTGTACACCGAGTCGTGAATGTCACCGAGTCGTGAAACTTTTTTATACCCACCACTGTAAGGTATAATTAAACAACCACAACATGTATTAAAACTAAAACTATTCAGAATCTGATGAGCTAAGTACTTCTATGACCTCCTGACAAGTTCGTGCATTATGGCCAGCCCCCCCGCAAGTGCCACAATGTCGTACACCTGGTTGCCCCTCATTCCTACCAACCCCTCCAGAGCGCTTCTCGCGATTTATTTGCTCCGTAACTGCCCTTTGGGACAAATCATCATGTGCATCCCCTACAGAAAGTGCACACCCTTGATGGACACGAGACTTTTTAGCCCTCCGGCGTTTGCTAAGAGCTTCGTTTGCTGCTCGAAGGGTGCGGACTTCAGCTGACAATAAAGTCATTTCATGTGCCAAAATCTCTGTCCCTTTAGCTAATGCAGTAACAGTAGCAAAAATGGGGGTTGGCGAGCTTCCTTGGTGCCGTGCAATGCGATTTTTAACTAGAGTAGTCTGTGAGAGAGCATCTATTGGGTTGTGAGGCGTTTCAAAAACCCAAGGATCAGCGTCTATAGAGGGGGGTCCTTGTAAGGACGCAGGGCACCGTATCACGAGAAGTGGCATATGGGAGTGCGAGTCGGATATGAGTCGGTGCAATCCTATAGGTCTACTACGAAGGATACAATAAAGATGAAGGGGGAACCCCGTTGAGTCTGTTTCCTTAACTCCCGAAACGGACCCGGCTCGGTTATCCTAACCCTAGCCCTGAACCTTCCACTGCAACAGGTCTACATTGGCCCTGAACCCTATACACTTACCGTCCCCCACTATAGCGTAACTCGCTATATGATCCTCTACTGGTTCGAAACCCCACCGAGTCGGATTCCATG